ACCCCCGCCCCCCGGCGCCGAGCCCCCCACCGACCCCCGCCCTCTCTTCCAGGTGTACGACCAGATGCCGGAGCCCCGCTATGTGGTGTCCATGGGGAGGTGAGTGTGGGGCTCTGTGTGTTCTGCTAATCAAGTCAGCCCAGTCAGTAGTATCAGGCATTTGAAGCAGACGGGGCAGTGACTTCTGACAGATTTTCATACTCTCGTGGTAGCTCCTTCTCCCCCAGGGAGACAACCCAGGTCCCCCTCCCTTCCCCGGAACATTCCCTCGTGGCCCGTTAGACTTGTTCCCCACCCCCAGCAGCAGCCAGGCTGATCTCCCATCGGGTCTCTGCTTCAGAAACGTGACAGGCGCCGTTCTCGGACCCTCTTCATCCTTTTGGTATCGTTGGGAACATCCACAGCAAAACTACACCAATTCAGTAGTTTCTACATGTACGGTTGACACTGGTTATCTTCTTCGAGTTGTGCAGCCATTCTCACCCTCCCTTTCTCGGTTGTTCCTCCCCCAGTAACGTACACTCGCTGCCCCCTGAGGTTCCCATCTAACGTTTAGAGTTCCTGTTGTCACTTTGATCCCATGGACAGTTCTTAAAGGAGCGCAGTACTCAGAGCAGGAACTCTTCACCAGTTAAGCTAAACCATCGTTTGGTTGTAGAAGACTCCAGGGGTGTTTTTGGTTGAAGGCTTAAAGATCTCAGGGCAGTGTTTTCGGGGGTGGTCCGTGTCCATGGCTCCAGAAAGCCTGTATTCTGCTCGTTGTCCTGCCTGCCCTCCTCTGATGGCTGCAGTGGGAGGAGGCCCTGGGTCAGGGGTGAGGCCTGGAGGCGGGTCCTGTGGTGGGAGCGGCCCTCAGCGCTGCCTCTCCCCCAGCTGTGCCAACGGTGGAGGGTACTATCACTACTCGTACTCTGTGGTGAGGGGCTGCGACCGCATCGTGCCTGTCGACATCTACGTCCCAGGTAGGGCCCTGCCCGGAGCCAGCCCCCCGCCTGCCAGTTCCCAGCCCGCCCTGCCAAAAGGGGGGCACCCATGGGTGGGGGCGCGCCCAGGCCTTGCCCTTCTCTGTTGGGCGTCTCCTCGGCGGGAAGGTCTGCCAGCTCACCCAGAGGGTGGGCGAGTCTAGAGATCAGTGGGACTCATTAGTTGTCTGGAGCTGCCAAGATCTGGCCGCTTGGAGACTAGAGCTTCCCATGGGTCTGCCTCGTGGAAGCAGAAGCCGGGAAATGCAATGAAAACCAAATAGCAAGAGGTTCCCAGAGGCCACGGTGTTGTCCCCGAGTCCTCGTGCTCTGGAAGGGGCCGCTGGGGTGGCCAAACTCGGCCAGTGAAGGCACAGGGCACCCAGTTAGATTAACGTGAATGTCCAAAAAACAAGGGATAATGTTTTTGTATAAGTATATCCCATGCGGCATATGGGATATACTTAGACTAAAAAAAAAAAAAGGTATCGATCGTTTGTTTATCTGAAATTCACATTTAACGGGCGCCCTGTGTTCTGCCTCGGGCTCTTCGTGGCCCCTGCCTTGCACAGGTTCTGAGAGACTGGTGTTCTTCCTCCAGAGTGACGCTCCCCAGCCCCTGCCCTCCCTGCAGGCCCTGATCCCCCTTTCTGTGTGCCTATATCCCTTGGCGAAGGCCTCTCCCCTCCACGGGAGCTCCCTGGGGGCTGGTACTGGGTTGGTGGGAATCACCACCCACTGGGGCCTCTGTGATAAGAACCTGGGAAGGGGCAGGGCTGGGCCCCAAGGGGAGGACCCCGCTGTTCCTCCTCCCCGGGCCTCTGTCCCTCTGTCCACCCACCTGAGGCCGGCCAGTCTCTTTCCCTGAAGGCCAGCACGGGGACCCTCGAAGTCCCCCAGGTCTGTACAGGGGCCCGCCGGGTGGCCAGGGCACGGGTTGTGGGGGGGCCGGCGCCGGCGCCCGCGCCCACCATGGCGAGCGGGCGGGAGACTGAGGCGCGGCCCCCGCAGGCTGCCCGCCCACAGCCGAGGCGCTGCTCTACGGCATCCTGCAGCTGCAGAGGAAGATCAAGCGCGAGAAGAGGCTCAGCATCTGGTACCGCAGATAGCGCTGCCGCGTCGCCCGCACCGCCGCACTGTCCTGAGGGTGCCAATAAACCCTGCCTGCCGCCCGCTCGCCCGCCCGCCAGTGTCGTGTGCGCTCGCCGGGGGTCCCCCAGGAGGGGTGGGGGAGGGCAGGGCCACGGGAGGACGGCCCCTGGACCCCGTTCCACCTGTACCCAGAATGGCCCAGAACCCCCAGGCAGGGTTGCCGGAGTCCCGGGCAGAGCCTGCCCTTGTCCACTTTATGAAGCCACTGCATCCGGGAGGTGGAGGGACAGGAGGTCAGGGGCCCTTGCGCTCGTGCCTCTCTCTCCCTTCCTGGCCCACCCCGCCTCCTGGCCCACGCGGGCCTCTTCCTGGGGTGTGAGGGACGGCCACCGTGCTGTGTGCTGAGCGGCCGCCCCCTCTGGCCCTTTCCGCAGGGTGGGAGCTGAAAGAGACCAGCTGCAGCTGTCACCGGCTGTGCCCTAGGCCTGGATGTGGGCGGGGGGCAGGCCTGGGGCTTCCAAACGGCCCACAGAAGCCCTTCGGGAACCATCTCCACCAAGGCTTTGGGGGAGACCCGGCACTGCCTCTGCATCCTTTTATCCTTTGGAGTCTGTCCTTGTCACAAACGTGCATACTCATTCAACAGACCTGACCTGGCCAGCTGCTGCCAGCGTTGAAGGCGAGGGCTGCACTCATCTGTGAAGGATCGAGGCTGGGGTGGCGGGCCCAGGGCTGCAGAGGCTCCGGTGGGAGGGAGGAAGCGTCTGGGCAGAGGGCTCGCGGGGTGGAGGGGTGGGCTGGAGGACCAGGGGGCACGCGGCGGGGGGGTGGGCCCCGAGGGCCGGGGGGGCGTGTGGCCCGATGGGCCCCAAGGGCCGGGTGCCCAGCCAGAGGCAGTTAGTGGGGACGGCAGAGGAGCCAGACACACTGGGTGGATCTGAGAGCTGTTGGGGCAGTGATGGCACCAGGGTGACCAGTGGGGCGTGAGGACACAGGACAGATGGAGCCACACTGGACCTTGGGGGGTGGGGGCTGCCCCTGCACTGGGGCTGGGGGGGGGTGACAAGTCCAGTGTCAAGGGGTACAAGACACTTGAGAACGGAGCGCATGGCAAGTGAGACTCCACTTCCTGGGGCAAGGGTGCACAGGCATGTGCTGGGGACAGAGCCTAGGGGCTCATGCTGGGGACGGACCAAGGGTCCTCGTGGACCCTTGACGGCCACGGAGGCGAGACGCTGGCCTAGCTGGGTGGGCCAGAGACCCACGGATCTGGGCCTTGGTGCTGCCACCCTTGGGGAGCCCTGTCTCTGGACTGCAGCTGCACACCGAGGGAGGGAGGGCAAGTGGTTCTGATCTCCGGGCTCTGATTGACTGCTCCTGATCCAGGGGTGTTCCTGCCTGGGAAACGGGGCGGCCATCAGTGGTTGATTGGCGATGTCTGCCACAGGACTGGCGGTGGCGGCAGTAGGTACAGAAGCTGGTCCTCCTGGAGCTCCCGTATTTTTTTTTTTGAGTGGGCAGAGGATTAAAACACACGTTTACACGGTACAGATTGGCAAAGCCCAGTGTTAGCGTTTTATTTCAACCTCAACGACCCTGGAAGGGAGGTAGTAGAGTTCTCGTTTTGGAAACGAGGACAGAGGTTAGGAAACGTCACCTGATGTCATACAGCCAGGGCTCTAACCCGGGCTGGGAGGCCGGGGCCTGCTTACCGGCATGGAAGGCACTGAGTGGGGGGTCAAGGGGAGCTGCCAGAGGCCAGGAGACCCGGGGAGCTCAGTGCCTGGTCACCACAGGCGTGATCATCTGCGGGAAGGCATAGTAACGGCAGTCGGCCGGCGGGATCAGCTCCATCACCTCTGTGTGGATGTTCTCCCGTCGGAAGCCTGCCTCCAGCAACGTGGGCACCTGTGTCTCCTAGCGGGGGCGACAGAGGAGAAGGCGCTAGGTGGCCTGTGAGGGGGTGTCCCCAGCAGCACCCCCGCCGGTGCCCACCCTTCCTTGAACAGGTTTCACAAGTGCCAAGGCCCCTGGGGCCGGCGGGCAAGTGAAAAGTGGGGGGCTAGGCGGCTAGAGAAGGGAATCGTGGGCGGCAGGTCTCACTGCCACTGGGCAACAGCACTGCAGTCCCACTGGGACAGGAGACCCTGCAGCCTCTCCCTCCCAGGGACCAGGTGACCCACCCATGGGCCTTTTCTCCACATCTTCCCAGTGCAGTGAGCCGAGCGGAAGAGCCGCAGTAGAAAAAGGAGACCTGGGCTGCTGATCGCGTTTGCACAGAAACGTGGCACTGCCGGCCGGTGACAGCTGGCTGGTTCTCAGGAGCCATCCTGGGCTTAGGGCCTCTGCACACTCTGCAGGGTTTTTCCCTGCCACTGTCTTTCTGGCAGAGGAGTGCGCAGGCAAAGCCCCTGAGAAGCACGCTAAACCGATAAAGTGTACTAGACCCGGGCAGAGCGAGGGGAATGTGAGGGGGGGCCTGGGCTGCATCCCAAGGGTACTGGGGAGCCAGGGAAGGCGGCTGAGCTAGAGAGGGCTTGCCTGATTTCTGAATGGAGGATCACAGCAGAGTCCAACCCACCTGTACTGGATTGACTAGTGTTTCCCCAAAATGCACATCCACCCAACACTTCGGAATGTGACCTTACTTGGAAACAGGGTCTTTGCAGGTGTAATTAGTAAACGGAGAAGGGCGGATCCTAAGTCCAATGACTGGTGTTCTTGGAACCAAAAAACCAAACCCGTTGCGGTCGAGTCGATTCCGCCTCCTAGTGACCCTACAGGACAGAGTACAACTACCCTATAGGGTTTCCAGGGAGTGGCTGGTGGGTTCCAACTGCCAACCACATGGTTAGCAGCCAAGCTCTTAAGCGCTGTGCGACCAGGGCTCAGTGTCCTTATGATAAGAGAGAATTTTGGACAGAGACAGAGGGCAGACAGCCGTGTGAGGATGGAGGCAGAGACTGGAGTGATGGGGCCACAAGCCCAGGAATGCCTGGGGCCACAGAAGCTTGGAGAGACAAGGAAGGATCCTGCTTTAGAGCCTCGGGAGGGAGGGCAGCTCTGCCGACCTCCTGAATTCAGACTTCTGGTCTCCAGACTGAGAGGACAGCTCTGTTAGTTGATGGTACTTTGTCACGGCAGCCCCGGCACACTCAGACACCTAGGAGTTCAGCCCCTAGGGCCTGGGGCAGGAGAGCCACTGCTTCCCGGCCTAGGGTCCCTGGCAGCTGGGGGCTGGGACTAGGGACAGGCGGTGGTAAGCCCTGGGCGCTGCACCTCGAACATAGTGGTGATGTCCGAGTACTTGGTCTTCATCAGCTCCCCCCAGGACGTGAGGTTGCAGTAGGTAAGGATGCCCCCCGGCTTCAGCAGGCGAAAGGCGTGTTCCTGGGGGACAACATTGGTCAGGGGCCAGGGGTGCAGGCAGAGGGTCTCCTGGGTGGGCGGGCCGCCTAGCACCCAGGGCCCCCATGTCCCGGCCGCTCACAGACAAGCGGAAGGTCAGGCGTCCATTCTGGACGGCAGACACCCCCACCACCTGGGCCCCCGGCCACCCAGGGACAGTCCCCTTTACACGGGGCCTTGCGCCACCCGTACGCATGCCCACCTTGATGAAGTTGAACTGATGAGTGTGCCAGGTGTCCTCGGACAGCGGGTACGTGTCGTACAGGATCCCTGCATGGAGGACGGACACGCACCGGTCACGGTGAACCCCAGCACAGCCAGGGTGAGACATGGCAGGGGCAGAGGTGGGATTCAAACGCGGGCCTGAGACTCCTGGGGCTGCACTCTGGGCCATGGCACTGCCTCCTCCATGAATTGTGCCCAACACAGTCACTTGTTCAGGTGTTTGTCATGCTCCTGCTCTCTATCCAGCACACTGTGTCTGCCCTTGAATGCCCTGACCTCCTGCCCAGGTCTCTCGTCTCCACAAGGGTCACATCAGAGGGGTTGATCTCTCTAAAGGTCCTTCCGCAAGCAAGTGGGGGCTGATAGGAGTGGGAAGGCCCGGCACACTCCTAGTAACGAGTCTCCCCTCCAGCCCCCAGAGCCCCCTCACCATCAAAGTGACCATCTGGCAGAGTGGGTGCCACTTCCTCCCACAGGCCTTTCAAGGGGATGACCTTGGGGCAGAGCAGAAAAGAAGACTGAGGGTCAGAGTGGTCCCCAGAATCTCCCCCACTGCCACCTGCTAAAAGGGAAGGAGCGGAGAAACTCCAAAAGGAGAAGTCCGTCTCCTGCATGTCTGGGGGGGTGGGAGGGAAGCCTTCACCTGGAGGAGAGGGGCTAATGGGGGCTGAGGCAGAGGCAGCACCTTGTGCGGCTGCCGCGGGGCCCAGTCCTGGAGCCGCTGGAAGACACCGTCGTTGCACTCGATGACCCAGTGCTCCTCGATGGGCGCCTCCTGGATCCTGGAGGCAGCGATGGCCATGCCGAAGCCCACCTCCAGGACCCGGCCACCTGGGCAGACAAAGGGTGTCGAAAGGCAGCCAGGCTGCCTGAGAAGGGGCGGGGGTGGACCCTGGCAGCGAGGAACTTTTTGGCCACATGGGCCAAGGACACAGCAGAGGCGGACAGCTGGAACAGTGTGGGCCTTGGCCAGGGGCCAGTGGCTGGACAGGGAGGCTAGGTGACCACAGTTTTCAGGCCCAGTCTGAGGGAAAGGTCAGACCTTTGGACTTTGAGCCCCAGCCCACGCTGTTTGCATTGGGACACTTATCTCCTGTCTTGGTTACGGTCAGACCTTAATTTGAGGTCTTGTGACCTGGAAAAGTTGGGGTGGGGGAGATCCTAACTGGATCACAAAGAGGCTTAAACACTCTTAAGCAAGCAGTCTCCTCTCCACTGTGTCAGACACGTTTATGTGTCCATTTGCCAGGTGGGGACACTGAGGCCCACGGGCCAGAAACTGCACCCTGGGCTCCCAGAGGGGCCTTTACGAGGTCTGGGAGCCCCGCACCCCTCAGTGCCACTCGGAAACCCGGCAGACAGGCAGCCACACGCGCCCAGCTGTCTCCCTGCTCTCAGCTTTGCCTGGGCTATTCTTAGCCGGGGGAGGGAGTGGGGCTGCCCGGATGCGGGGCCACCGAGTCCTGCCACATGCCCTACTCAGCACATGGGGTGTCCCCGCGTCTGCGGACCCACCCCACGCCCCGGAAAGGAAGTTCCCGGGACTTAAGGGACGCCCACAACCTGCAGGCCTGTGCCGGCAGAATCCCTATTCAATTCCCTCGGCCCATTAGCAGCCCCAGTTTTGAGACGGGTAAACGGAAGCACAGAGAGGCGCTGGCGACGCCCAGCCTCAGTTTACCGCAAGCTACCTCTGGAGGAGGCGGCAGCGGCCAGGGAGTGCATGTACGGCGTCTCCCAGCGCTCCATCACCGGCTTGCCCAGGATCTGCAGGTGCGTGTCCCCCGCGTCGTAGGCCGCGGGCGCCGCGCCCCACGCGGGGCTGCAGTTCTCGCCAGGCGCGAAGATGGGGGCGGCGCGGGGGGCGCTCATGGTGCGGCTGGCGGGAGCACCGGGATCTCCGCTCCGGGGTGCGCTCTGCGTGGCACGGCCTGTGGGGCCTGTGCTGCTACGGGCGGGCCGATAGGCGGGGCCTGTGAAACGGTGGGCGGGGCCCTGGGGTCGGGCGATGGGCGGGCTGCTGCGGGCGGGCCGATGGGCGGGGCCTGTAGGTCAGTGGGCGGGGCGTGTGGTGGAAACGGGGGCTGGAGTTGGCAGGGGAGTGGGGCTGGGCTGGGGAGGGACCGGAACGCCCCTAGCGGCCGCTAGAGGGAGCGCAGGGACCCCCGACGCAGCCTATCCTTTGCGGAATGGGCAGGTAGCGATCCCCCCACCTTGTTCCTCACCAGCCTTAGTTTCCCCATCTGTCACCCCAGCGTGAAGCCCTCACTTTCCATGTGTGAGGATCGGATCAAATGCTTTTCCAGGCACTCGAGTGGACCCCGCCTCATGACGACCCCATGTGTGTCAGAATAGAACCGCGCTTCATAGGGTTTTCAATGGCTGATTCTTTTAGACCGCCAGGCCTTTTTTCCCAGGTGCTTCTGGATGGCCACCAATCGTCTGTCACTTTGTCATACTGTGGTGGCTTGCACGTTGCTGTGATAGTGGAAGCTATGCCACCAGTGTTACAGATGCCAGCAGGGTGACCCATGGTGGACAGGTTTCAGTGGAGCTTCCAGACTAGGAGACTAGGGAGAAGAACCTGAAGTCTACTTCTTAAAACATTTGCCAGTAAAAACCTTAGGAACAACAGCAGAACATTAATGCAGTGCCGGGAGATGAGCAACTCAGGTGGGAACCAAAGGCGCTGCCATCAAGTCGATTCCAACTCATAGCGAACCTATAGGACAGAGTAGAATTGCCCCATAGGGTTTCCGAGGAGCAGCTGGTGGATTCAAACTGCTGACCTTTTGGTTAGCAGCCGAGCTCTTAACCACTACACTACCAGGGCTACCCTCAGGTTGGAAGACACTCAAAATAGAACTGGGGAAGAGCTGCCTCCTCAAAGAAGAGTCGAACTTGATACGGATGGAGTGAAGCTTTCAGGACCTTCATTTGCTGGTGTGGCAAGACTCAAGATGAGAAGAAACAGCTGCAAACATCCATTAATAAACGGAACATGGAACATAGAAAGTATGAATCTAGGAAAATTGGAAGTTGTCAAAAATGAAATACACTGCATAAAGATCAATATCCTAGGCATTAGTGAGCTGAAATGGACTGGTATTGGCCATTTTGAATCTGACAATCATATGGTCTACTATGCCAGGAATGACAAATGGAAGAGGAACGACATCGCATTTATCATCAAAAAGAACATTTCAAGATCTATCCTGAAGTACAACGCTGTCAGTGATAGGATAATATCCATACGCCTACAAGGAAGACCACTCAATACAACCATTATTCAAATTTACGCACCAATCACTAATACCAAAGATGAAGATATTGAAGATTTTTACCAACTTCTACAGTCTGAAATTGGTCAAACATGCACTCAAGATGCATTGATAATTACTGATGATTGGATTGTGAAAGTGGAAACAAGAAGGATCAGTAGTTGCAAAATATGGCCTCAGTGATAGAAATGATGCTGGAGATCACATCATAGAATTTTGCAAGACCGTTTCACTGGAAATACCTTCTTTCAACAACATAAACGGCAACTATACACGTGGACCTTGCCAGATGGAATACACAGAAATCAGCCTTCAGTATGGATTACACCTCAACAGAAAGAAAACAGAAGTCCTCACAACTGGTAAACGGAGAAAATGCTAAAGTTGTCAAGGATTTCATTTTACTTGGATCCACAATCAATGCCCATTGAAGCAGCAGTCAAGAAATCAAATGACATATTGCATTGGGCAAATGTGCTGCGAAAGACCTTTTTAAACTGTTAAAAAGCAAAGATGTCACTTTGAGGACGAAGGTAGGCTTGACCCAAGCCATGGTATTTTGAATCGCCTCATATGCATCTGAAAGCTGGACAATGAATAAAGAAGACCGAAGAAGAATTGACACCTTTGAATTATGGTGTCGGAGAAGAATATTGAATACACCCTGGACTGCCAGAAGAATGAACAAATCTGTCTTGGAAGAAGTACAGCCAGAGTGCCCCTTAGAAATGAGGATGACGAGACTTTGTCTCTTGTACTTTGGACATGTTATCAGGAGGGACCAGTCCCTGGAGAAGGACATCATGGTTGGTAGACGGTCAGCTAAAAAGAGGAAGACCCTCAGGGAGATGGATTAACAGTGGCTGCAACAGTGGGCTCAAACATAGCAATAATTGTGAGGATGGCGCAGGACCAGGCAGTGTTTCATTCTGTTGTACACGGGGTCGCTGTGGGTCAGAACTGACGCGATAGCACCTAACAACAACTTCTGGATGGATTCAGACTTCCAACCTTTCGATTAGCAGCCAAGCTCTTTAACCATTTCTACCATGGAGGGAGTTTGCAAGAGCAGATGTCGTCAGGC